TCCGGTCGACATGCTCCAGAGCTGGGGCCTGGCCGACCCGGGCTGGAGAGTGTGGGGGCCCTTAGGCTACCAGGGACCCAGACCTCGAAGTCAAGGCCCCCAAGCCGGGAGGACCCAGCGCGGGTTTGGAATTGCTTCCCCCTCCTCTGTGTCCGGAGGGTGGTACAAAAGGCAAAGCCTGCTTCTCCCTCCCGCAAGCGTGTGGCGGTTGTCCCTGGCTCCCCAGTACACGGTCTTTGCTCCCCCCAACCCTCCACCTCTGAACTTCAGGCCAGAGAGGCGGAGGGCGAACAGAGGGCGCTGGCGGCTGATCCTTTCCCTTCCCCAGATGCCAAGGGATCCATCCGAGAGATCATCCTGCCCAAGGGCCTGGACCTGGACCGGCCCAAGCGGACGCGCACGTCCTTCACGGCAGAGCAGCTCTACCGGCTGGAGATGGAGTTCCAGCGCTGCCAGTACGTGGTGGGCCGCGAGAGGACCGAGCTCGCCCGGCAGCTCAACCTCTCCGAGACCCAGGTAGTACCAGGGCCTGGCCGTTCCAGCTCGGCCCCGGCCTCCTTCCCCACCGCCCCGGCCAGCGCTTCCGCACCATCTTCGGGGGCTCTGGACAGAGCCTCTGGGGGAGGTGGAGTAGATAGAGAGGGTGGGGAAGAAAGGTCTGGGGCTTCTTCCCTTCCATAAGCTACCGCCCCCCCATACCCTCAAGCATTCCAGGGCCCATGCTCTGCTCACTTGGCCTAGCTCAGGAGACCCCAATATGGCCTTCCGGAATTCTTTCTGGACCCCAGTCTTGAGACTCCCTTGCTTGTCTCTGCTCTAAAGGAACGGATGTTCACCCTGCTTTGGCTGCTTCATTTTGGCCAGATTTCCAGGCACCACCCCCCTTGGGGATGGGAGCCTTACACAACACCGGGCCCATCCCGCAATGGGCCAAAAGCTTAGGGCCAAAGCCTCCTGCTCCAGCACAGGTGAGAGCTAGGATTAGAAAAGTGCACATTCCTGATATCTGCCTATGCAGACCGGGCTGCCCTGACCCGCAAGGCTTCCCCTGGCCCGCAGCTACCCAACCCCATTCTCAGCCCTAAGCACCCACTCAGACATCCAGGAGGCCCCTATCTTCTGTGCCAAGGAGGCGTGGGATGGGAGACAGGTCTAGTGCCTGGGAGCCAGCACTGCCAACCGTGCGGTAGGTCTTTAGCTTTCATGAAATCCATATGATGCCACGATGGAGCTGGCTATTTGGACTCAGCCCAGAGGTCTTTGGGGCCTGGCCAGGGCATGGCACCAGCTTGGCTTAGGTCAGGCTGAGGCTCAGTCCCTTGCCCTATGCCCAGCCCTGAAGCAGGTGGGGAACCTTTTAGGTCCGAAATCTGGCCAGAAAGCTGAGAACCAAGGACGGACACGTCAGATGCTCTTTCTGAGCCTGAGTTGGCATGGTCACTTTTCCCTAGTGTTGCTGCTACCACCCCTCTTAGTACAGTTTATAAAATCTAGATAGGATCACCTTGCCCTGTAGCTGCCAAACTCCACTGTGGGCCACCAGCTAGCGGGGACCAAGGGAGAAGAGACAGTGAGAGGGGAGGGTGGTGGAGAGAATATAGTCCAACACAGCCTCTGACTTTCTCCTGCGGTTCCACAGTTCGGGATGGAGAGCGTAAGAGTGGTAAATTGAGTATTACTCAGCCCCTCCAATCCAGCTCCTGGGGAGAGGAGGTGGGGAAAACTTGGACAAACTATTCTTTGTACAGCCACCTTCCCTGTTTGCTGCTAGTTGGTGGTCAAGTCCCACCCTAACAACAAGAAACAGCTTCTCGTAGCTAAATGCGAGCCCATTTGGCCAGGGGCCTGGGTCCAGGGTCCAGATAGGCAGGGCACCGCTTCCCCACCTACCCTGACTCCCCCTTCCCGGCGCAGCATCTTCAGGCGGCACAGGTCAGCGATCACTCAGTGAAATCCCTTCTGGCCTAATTTTGAGTGAAAGTTGTGGACATTTATATTACTTTATTGGGAATCTTGGCCAGCCTGGGCCTGCTTCCATGACCCGGAAGTGCAGCCTAGCAGAGCTGTGTCCCCCACCTGGGGGTCCTGGCTCCCCCTGGCAGCTCCCAGCCGGACCTCTCCCGCCACGGGTGGCACTAGGACTGGGGCTAAGGCTGGGGTTGCGGGAGGACCCCCTCCCAACCCTCCCCCACCCCAACCCTCGCACCCGGAGCCTGCTTCTCCTGACGCCCGTCTTCCCTGCTCCTCTTCCCCTGCTCCCCGCGCCCGGCGCGCAGGTGAAGGTCTGGTTCCAGAACCGGCGCACGAAGCAGAAGAAGG